GCCAAATCAGCAAGTCAGGAAAAACCATGGTTACAGATGAATGCTATTTTATTAAAAACTACATACACAATGCTGGGGCATGAGATGTACAATAAGGAATAATGTAAGCCTACAAAGTATTAGAACTGTTTTATGCTCAGAAAATGAAGCCAGAGATTTGTAGAAATCACGGTATAATTCCAACTTCCTTCAGGTAAGCTCTTGTGAGAGTTTAAGGAAGCCTCAGAAAGTATGTCTAGACAGTGAATATGTCAAATCCACACCTCCAGAGGAGGGACTTCAGAGATTTCCATTCCACATTAGCATTAAAGCTGTGTCTGTATTCCTCAGTCATCACATTCTTAATCCAGAGGGAACTTGATGTTTCTAATCAGGTCAAGTAGACAATGAAGTCAACAGAGAGTGGAAAGACAACCTGGTATGTCAGGCTAAGATGGTTTGGACCACAGTCTTGATGTTTGTGAGGGTGATGTCACATATCAGATCACTAATGCTGGCTGTTGAGGTGATTCCAATTTCCTATGAGGTCTTGGTGTTCCCCAAGTCATACATGAGATCTTCTTGTCCTGGATCTCTTGTGGACAAGATCGCACCTGGACAAATAATAGCTCTTGGGTGTGGCCCACATACCCATCATGGCAAAGTCTGCCCAAAGTGCTTCTCTGGTGTCACCCAGATATCATGAAGGTCATGCTTTGTGGCCTTGGGTCCTCTGAGTTAAGTCTTATCTGCTGGGGTTGATGAAGAGAGGATGAGGCCTACAACCTTCAAAGTTAAAATTGATTCTGGATTTTTTGTGGCATGTTAGCTCCTAGCTTACACTGATATCAGTGGGTTGGCAGGATCCCATTCGTGTCACTTTATGGTATTTCCCATTACGTCATTCTCCAGACTATGACCCTATAGTGTTAAAATGTGTCCAAACTTTCTGGACTACTGCATGGTAAAGGTCACATCTGAGATCAAAATGCTGTCCTTGATCTGTTGCAGTCCTGGTATATATGGGCACAGGGGATTCCGGTGTGTGGCCCACACATGCAAGGTGCGCTTGCTATTTGAAATTCAGTTATGAAGCAGATGGACATGAAGGGTGTGTGGTAGTCTTGACTCCCTGATTTGAGCATGCTGCCTGAGTCGGGTGAAAGGAGTGTCTAGTTGATAAATATTGAAGGTAATATGTGGAAATTCAATGATTAAACTGCCCATGTTTTCTTGCACAGAGGGGCCATTCTGGATGGCTTGTTGTGTGCAATTCCCACTTCACATCAACCTTCCTTGCATTCTTTGCAGTCAAATAGTATGCGGTCAGACTTGAAATGAGGGTGTGGCCCACATACCCCTAAATACAAGGTCTGCCATTTCGTTTGATCATTTGTGATCAAACCATCAAGTGTGCAGTTTGGCCTGGCTCCTCTGTATTGTTAATATAACTTGGGTTGATAGAAGAGAGAGTATGACCCAAACCCACGAGGAATTTAGCCGAAGGATCTTGGTGGTGAAACAACCCCAGCTTGTGTTGATGTCCTACAAAATAAAGTGACATGAAGGTAATGCCTGGTGCCAGAGCAGGTCAGGGTCATGAGTATGCCCATTTCCTTTCATCATTAATGTGAGGTTTGGTCATTTAAGGCCTGGCTCCTTTGTTTTTGGATTTTGTCCTGAGTTGCATAGAGAGGGTGCACCTCACACACCCTTGAAGATAATATAGGCCCAGATTACTTGGGGTTCAAGGAGCTGCCAAGTTTCCTTTGAGGTAACTTGTACCTGAGTCAATAATTAAATCATCAAGTTCTAAATCCTGGAGGACATATTGTGTCCAGATATCTGTTACTCAGAAAAGCCCAAGTTTGGGTTTGTCCAAATATTGGAGGACATTTTGTCGCCTGATGTACATTTGAGAAATACTTGTTTCTAAAAATAAATCAGTCATGATAATTTCTTGTTTCAGAGAGTTGCAGGGTACAACATAACACCCTTTTGGTATCACATGTACACACAGGTTATTTAGGTGTGCCTTTGTCACAGTGTGATGACAGTATCATCCTTGCTCATATGTGTTTAACATGTTTGAACTGAATGTGGTACATGTGTGTGATCCACATATTGTTCAGGTTGTACATCTCTATCAGTCATTAGAAGAGGGTGTATTGTGGGTGAGTCTAACGTTACGGATGTTCACCCTAGCATTTATCTGTTTTGATGCCTGGTTGCTTATAGGACAGCAATAGAAATTAGGCCTTGGATCAGAAGCCTCACAGTGTACACTCTTGTGCCACAATATTGTTTCAGTTTTGATTTGGCTTGGATACAGTGCCTTTTGTTTGGGCACAGGTCTCTTTGTGTGAGTGGCTAATCCAGAATAATTTTATTTTAGCAATTTGGCTGGTATTGAGATGAATCTGGTTGGGCTTACTCCTATTCTTGGTTTGTCCTGGGCCTCTGTTATTTCAGGTATTGGCCCAGGCCCACATGTCTTCTTGCTTTGGGACTGGGCTTCTACAGGGTCAGGCTTTGGGAAGACACATTTTATATCTCAGGTTAACCTGGGTCTCTTTCATTTCAGGAATTTGTTTTGATTAATAATATATCATTGCTTTTTAAGCCCAGGCACCATCATTTCATCACTGGCCCAGGCCCACGAATCTTCTTGCTTTGGCCCGGGCTTCTTCAGAGTAAGATATAAGCCTAGTCTCACATTCCATTTTGCTTTGGGTCTGGCCTTTTTCAGGATTAGGCAGTACCCCCCATCACAAGTCTTTTTCTTTGGGTCCCAGTTTTTACAGTCTATTGTGTTAGCCCAGACCCATATAACTTCTTCTTTGGGTCCTGGCTATTCCAGGGTTTGGGTTGGGCCCAGGCATAGTCCTTTTGTAATTTAACCTGGACCTCTTTCATTTGTGGGATTGTCTCGGGCACACATATCTCTTTTGGGGCCCAGGTATTCAGGGACTGGCCGAAGCCCACAATTCTTCTTGTTTTGGCCAGGTTTCATCAAGGTAAGGTATTATCCCAGGCCTGCATCTCTTCTTCCTTTGGGCCTGAGGTTTTTCAGGATTAGGCAATAGCCCAGGCCCACAGCTCTTCTTCTTTGGGCTCTGGACTTTTCAGGATAAGTTAGTAGCCCAGGCCCACATTTCTTCTTTTAGGCCCAGGCTTTTTCAAGATTAGGTATTAGCCCAAGGAATCAACAACTCTTTGTGCCCAGGCCCTTAACAGGTAAGGTAGTAGCCCGGGCCCATATCACCTCTCCTTTGGGCCTGGAGTAATTCAGGGTTAGGGTTTGGCCCAGTCATATGTCTTTTGTGGTTTAACCTGGGCCTTTTTATTTGTAAGATTTTCTAATTCCTATCCATCGTCACTTCTTGGGCCCAGGCATTTTAATGTTGAGTGACAGGCCCAGGTCCATACTCTACTTTCTTTGGGCCTAGGCCTTTAAAGGGTAAGGGAGTAGCCCAGGTCCATATCTCCTTTTTTAGGGTTTTGGATAGTCCTGCTTTGGGTTTGACCCAAAAGGCATAGTCATTTTGTGGTTTAACATGGGCATTTTCATTTGCAGGACTGTTCCAGGCTCATATACCATACCCTTTGGGGCCTAGACATCATATCATTCAGGGACTGTACCAGGCCCACAACTCTTCTTGTTTTGGGCCTAGACTTCTTCAAGGTAAGGTATTATCCCAGGCCTGCATCTCATCTTTCTTTGGGCCTGGGGTTTTTTCAATATTAGAGAGTAGCCTAGGTCTACCACAATTCTTTCTGCTCAGGCATTTAAAGTGAAAGTTAGTAGCCTAGGCCCATATGTCTTCTACTTTTGCCCTGGGCTAATCAAGGGTTAGGGTTTAGTGCAGGCATACTCATTTTGTGGTTTTACCTGGGCCATTTTATTTGCAGGACTGGTAAATTCCTATACCAAATAGAATCATCTATTCTTTGGCCCACTCATTTTAATATTTAGTGACTTGCCCAGGCCCACATTTCTTCTTTCTTTTGGCCCAGGATTCTTCAGAATAAGATATAAGCCTGGGCCCACATCCTATTTTGCTTTGGGACTGGCCTTTTTCAGGATTAGGCAGTACCCTAGAACATAAGACGTCTTCTTTGGGCCCCTTTACAGACTTAGATGTTAGCCGAGGCCCATATCACTGCTTCTATGGGTTCAGGCTATTCCAGGGTAAGGGTTGGGCCCAGGCATCCTAAGGTTCAGGAAATGCACGGGCCCACATCTCCTCTTCTTCTTTGGACCCAGGCCTTTTCTGGTTAAGTTTGTAGCCCAGGCCTACATCTCTTATTCTTTGGGCCTGTGATAATCCACAGTTTAGGTTTGATCCAGGAATACTCCTTTGTTGTTTAATTTTGCCTCTCTCATTTGGTGGATAGTCCCAGGCTCATTATCTTCAAATTTTGAGCCCAGGATCTTAAGGTTCAAGAATAGGCCCAGGTATTCATCTCTTCTTGCTCAGACCTGGGCTTTTGTAGCAAAAGACTTTGTCCCAGGCCCACATCTAATTTATTCCTGCATTGGTTGATCAGATCTCCACACTCACCTCTTCTTTGACTGGCCTACACCTTTTAATTTGAGTAATTTACCTATGTCAATATATAATCTTTCTTTAGGCCTGGGTTTATTCAGGACCAGGGATTGGCCCAGGGCCCCATCTTTTCTGATTGTGAACCTGGACTCTTTAGGGTCCTTTTTAGGCTGCACACACTAATTTTTTATGGTGGAAGCCTCTTTTACTTCAGGATTTGATCCAGGCACAATTAAATATTTGGGCCTTGGGAGTACAGTGTTCAATGGTAGATCAGGAAATGCTTCTTTTTTAAGCATGTTCCTGTCTTTCTAGGTTTATGCTTAAACCTAAGGTTCTTTCACTTCAGCCTTTAAACCCAGGCTTCTTCAGGGTCTATATTTCATCTTGGCTACTTTCATTACATATATATTGACTTTTTAGTGTTCGGGCCTTTCCCTGAATAAACTGCTCTGTTGGATGACCCTGTACCTGTTTATCTTCAGGCTTGATGAAGTAGAGTCCAGGTGTGTCCAAAAGTACGTTCCCATTAGCCTTTGTCTATGGTCAGCTTTTCTGAAATTAAAAATTGACAAGCTTGTATTGACAAAGGAAAACATTTGGTGTCCTTCTCGGTCATGTAAATATACTAAGAACATCAGTGACCTGTCCCTTAGAAACACAGATACAACAAGCACATACACCAGATGAAATAAACTGAGCATTATACAGATAGATGAAATATATATGTAGGAGAGAAAGGTGTAACATGAAGGCTGGCTTGTTGGGGTTTCTGTCCTGCCCATTCCCCCAGCCATTTAGTTCCAGAGAAAATCACACAGAGATCTCCATAAGTTATAAAACTGATTGGCCCATTAGCTCAGGCTACTTATTAGCTCTTGTAGCTTATATTAACCCATTATTCTTATCTATGTTAGCCACATGACTTGGTACCTTTCTCAGCAGGGCAGCTCACATTTTGCTTCTTTGGTGATCTGGGCAGAACTGCAGAGGGAGCTTCCTGCTTCCCAGAAAACTCCTGTTCTCATTGCCCCGCCTCTACTTCCTGTCTGGTTGACCCGCTTATATTTCCTGCCTGGCCAATCAGTGTTTATTTAAAACATGATTGACAAAATACAGACAATTCTCCCGCACCAGAAAGGTGGCTGGCAAAGTCTTTCCTGATGCATCTCTGATGGTGTCTGTGGTGGGGAGGCTCGACAACCTAATGTGGGAAGATAATTGCTTCTCAATAGAGTTTAAGCAAATCCTAGCGAGGACCCGTGCAAACTTTTATCCCAATCTGTGTGAATTCCCATTCCCATGAAGGACTATCACAGAAAGTTAAGAAAAAACAGAGATTAAGACCTCATGTACTAGAACAGTAGTTTTCAAACTGTCAGTTGTGACCCCATCTACAGACTTCGGTCTCTAAAAATATTTACATTATAATCCATAATAGTAGCAAAATGCAGGTATGAAGTAGCAATGGAAACAATGTTTTGGTTGTTGGTCCCTAGCACATGAGGAATTGTATTAAAATGCTGTATCACTTTGTAGATGAAAGTTTCTATCCAGCCTTCCAGTTCCTAAATCATTGACACAGAGGCTTAATATTAACAATAAATGCTAAGTCAGTGTCTCAGACTTGTTGCTATCTAACCCTTACATGTTAATTATCCCATATTTTTTTCCCTCTGTTTTGCCCTATTTTTGGTATCTTTTTACAGTACGGCATGCCCATTCTGCCTCTCTCTGCATCTGGTTCTGGTGCCGACTCCTCTCCCTCTGGTGCTGCTCTGCCTCAGCTGCTGTCACCTGTTCTGACGAATACAGGCAGAGGTTTGCATAGAAAAGCGCTGACATGCCTGGACACATGCCTGTCACAGGGGACAGTTGTCCCTGACTGGGGCCACAGTAGAGCTTTAGCCTGCACCATCTGTACCCTGAAGTCTTTTCACACGGCACAGATTGGGGTCGGCCTGTGTGATCACTCTCTGATGTACAGTTACTGTGATTCCTTGGGTCCTTCATTGGCTAGTTCCTTGAACACATCTGTTGATATTTACTGCAACATTCTCTACTTCTATAGTGCATGTCCTGTGAGATGTCTCCTCAAGGGCCACACTGTGGGACAATGGTTTGTTCCCTGTCAATTTGTATTTTAATAAAATGCTGATTAGTTAGTATCCAGTAAGGAAGTATAGGCAGGACAACCTTGCAGGAAGTAGAGGCAGGACGATGAAAACAGAATTCTGGGAAGAGGAAAACTTAGTCTGCAGTAGTGACCCAGCCACAGAAGAAGCAAGATGTTTCTGTCTCACCAAATAAGGTACTGAGCCACATGGCTAACATAAATAAGAATAATGGGCTAACGTAAGTTAAAAGAATTAGTAAATTAGAAGTCTGAGCAAATGGTCCAATCAGTTTATGACTAATGTAGACTTCTGTATGATTTCTTTGGGACTTACTGGCCGCAGGACTGGGTGGTAAAGAAAAACTCAGTCAATAGATCTCACTGTGCCTCACACCCTTTATCACAACCTCCTCCCAGAAACAGCACAGGGGCTTAAGTTAGGCCTTCATCCCAAGAATCTGTATGTATTTCTCACCCACTTTAGCCCCAACCTCCTTCCACACCTGCAGCTCCATCTGAATCCCAGCACACCCCAGTAGACACTGTGTTCCCTCCCACAAAGACCTTTAGCATGCCTTTACCATGGCAATGAGCTACTTAGGAGGTACCCAAGGCCTCCTTTGTCTACTATCTTCTTCCTCCATGCCTGAGTGTAGCATGAGGAACGACTATGTTTCCTATACTGTGTTTAGCACACAGTCCCAGCAAAGTGGATGTTGTACATATGGTAATGTCATCTCATTAACAAACCTAAGCATAAATTTACTGTCTCAAAGTATATTCATAGTATGTGTCTTTGTAAGATAACAAATGACATTATTCAGTATTATCTTTTTTCTTTTATTAATTTTTTTACTTTATAAATAATACCAATCAAAATTTCCACTTACTTCCCACCCTTCACACATCCTCCCCACCATTCCCCTTCAGTCCTAAGAGAGGCAAGGTACCCTGCCCTGTGGGAAGTTCAAGGTCCTCCCCACTCCATCTATGCTTAGGAAGGTGTGCATCCATATAGAATAGGATCCCCAAAAGCCAGTCCATGTAGCAGAGACAAATCCCAGTACCATTATCATTGGCACCTCAGTCTGCCCCAATTGTCAGCCACATCTAGAGGGTCCAGTTTGATCCCATGCTTATTCTGTCCCAGTTCATCTGGAGTTGGTGAGCTCCCACTAGCTCAGGCACATTGTCTCAGTGGGTAAACCAAACCCTCATGATCCTGACTTCCTTGCTCATATTCTCCCTCCTTCTGCTCTTCAACTGGACCTTGGAAGCTCAGTCCAGTGCTCTGATGTGGGTCATTGTTTCTATCTCTGTCTGTTGCCAGACAAAGGTTCTATGGTGATATTCAAGATAGTCATCAGTGTGACTATGGACAAGGCCAGTTCAGGCACCTTCTCCTCTGCCCAGGGTCCTAGCTGGGGTCATTCTCGTGGATTCCTGGCAACCCCTCCAAAGCCAAGCCTCTTGCCAACCCCAAAATGGCTCCCTCAAGATATCTCCTTCCCTGCTCCCATATCTGTCCTTCCTCCATCTCAACCATCCCACTCCCTCAAGCCCTCCCCATCTCTCCCTTTCTCCCTGCTCTCTTCTCCTCTTTCCTTCTCCATTTCCTTTACCCCCATACCCCCATGCCCCCAACTTTTGCCTGGCGATCTTGTCTGCTTCCAATTTTCAGGAGGATCTATACATGTTTTTCTTTGGGTTCACCTTATTACGTTGCTTCTCTAGGATCACGGACTATAGGCTCAAATGTCCTTTGTTTATGACTAGAATCCACTGAGTGAGTACATACCATATTCATATTTTGGTGTCTGATTTATCTTACTTAGGATAGTTTTTTTTTCTAGTTCCATCCATTTGCATGCAAAATTCAAGATGACATTGTTTTTTACCACTGAATAGTACTCTATTGTGTAGATGTGTTACACTTTCTTTATCCATTCTTCCATTGAGAGGCATCTAGGTTGTTTCCAGGTTCTGGCTATTACAAATAATGCTACTATAAACATAGCTGAACAAATACTTTTGTAGTATGATTGGGCATCTCTTGAGTATATTCCCAAGAGTGGTATTGCTGGATCCTGAGGTAGGTTGACTCCCAATTTTCTGAGAAACCACCACACTGATTTCCAAAGTGGTTGCACAACTTTGCATTCCCACCAGCAATAGATGAGTGTTACCCTTATTCCACATCCTCTCCATCATAAGCTATCATTGGTGTTTTTTATTTTATCCATTCTGACAGGTGTAAAATGGTTGCTTTGCATTTCCCTAATCGCTAAGGAAGTTGAACATGTCCTTAAGTATCTTTTGGCCATTTGAAATTCTTCTGTTGAGAAATTCTCAATTTTTTAAATTGGGTTATTTAGAATTTTAATGCCTCGCTTCTTGAGTTCTTTATATATCTGGAGATCAGACCTTTGTCTGATGTGGGGTTAGTTAAGTCTCCCATTCAGTAGACTGCCTTTTGTCTTAATGACTCTGTCTTTTGCTTTACAGAAGCTTCTCAGTTTCAGGAGGTCCCATTTATTCATTGTTGCTCTTATTGTCTGTGGTACTGGGGTTATACATAGGAAGTGGTCTCCTGTGCCCATGTATTGCAGGCTTTTCCTCACTTTCTCTTCTATCAGGTTTAGTGTGGTTGGATTTATGTTGAGGTCTTTAATCCATTTGGACTTGAGTTTTGAGCATGGTGATAAATACAGATTCTTCTACAGATTGACATCCAGTTATGCCAGCACCATTTGTTAAAGATGCTTTTTCTTCCATTGTATAATTTTGGCTTCTTTGTCAAAAATCAGGTGTTCGTACGTTTGTGGATTAATATCTGGGTCTTTGATTTGATTTCATTGGTCAATGTCTCTGTTTTTATGCCAATACCAAGCTGTTTTCATTACTGTTGCTCTGTAATAGAGTTTGATGTCAGGGATGGTAATGCCTCTGGAAGTTCCTTTATTGTATAGGATTGTTTTGGCTATCCTGGGTTTTTGTTTTTCCTTAGAAAGTTGATTTTTGTTCCCTCAAAGTCTGTGAAGAATTTTGTTGGAATTTTGATGGGATTGCACTGAATCTATACATTGTCTTTGGTAGAATTACCCTTTCTACTATGTTGATCCTACCAATCCAAGAGCATGGGAGATCCATTTTTTGGTATCCTCTTCAATTTCTTTCTTCAAAGCCTTAAAGTTTTTTTGTCAAATAGATCTTTCACTTTTTTGGTTAGTGTTACCTCAAGATACTTTATGCTATTTGTGGTTATTGTGAAAGGTGATGTTTTTCTGATTTTCCTCTCTGCTTCTTTATCCTTTGTGTATAAGAGGGCTACTGATTTTTTGAGTTGATCTTGTATCCTGCCACATCACTGAAGGTATTTATCAGCTGTAAGAGTTCTTTGGTAGAGTTTTTGGGGTCATTTATGTACACTCTCATATCATCTGCAAATAAAGAAAGTCTCACTTCTTCCTTTCTAATTTGAATCCCCTTGATATCATGTTGTCTTACTGCTATTGTTAGAACTTCAAGCACTATATTAAAGAGATATGGAGAGAGTGGACAGCCTTGTCTTTTTCCTGATTTTAGTGGAATTGCTTTGCATTTCTCTCCATTTAATTTGATGTTAGCTGTCGGCTTGCTGTATATTGCTTTTATTATATTTAGATATGTTCCTTGCATTCCTAATCTTTCCAACACCTTTATCATAAAGGTGTGTTGAATTTTGTCAAATACTTTTTCAGCATCTAATGAGATGATCATATGATTTTTTTCTTTCAGTTTATTTATATGATGGATTACATTGATAGATTTTCCTATGTTGAACCAGCCCTGCATCTCTGAGACAAAGCCTACTTGATGATAATGGATGATTTTTTGATGTGTTTTTTGATTCGGTTTGCCAGTATTTTATTGAGAACTTTTTCATCGATGTTTATGTAAGATTACTTTGTAATTCTCTTTCTTGATTGTGTCTTTGTATTAGGCTAACTGTAGCTTCATAAATAGAGTTTGGCAATGACTCTTCTGTTTCTATTATTTGGAACACATTAAGGAGTATAGGTATTCATTCTTCTTGGAAGTTCTGGTAGAATTCTGCAGTAAACCATCTGGTCTTGGGCTTTTTTTTGGTTGGGAGGTTTTTGATGACAGCTTCTACTTCCTTGCGACTTATAGGTCTGATTAAATTGTTTACCTGGTCTTGATTTAATTTTGATATATGATATTTATATAAAAATGTCCATTTCTTTTATATTTTCCAAATTTGTGGCATACAGATTTTTTTTAGTAAGACCCAATGATTCTCTGAATTTCCTCAGTGTCCCCTTTTTCATTTCTGATCTTGTTAATTTGCGTGTTTTCTCTCTGACTTTTGATTAGTTTGGATAGGGGTTTGTCAATCTTGTTGATTTTCTCAAAGAACCATCTCTTTGTTTCATTGATTCTTTGGATTGTTTGCTGTGTTTCTATTTTGTTGATTTCAGCCCTCAGTTTGATTATTTCCAGTCTTCTAGTCCTCCTGGGTGAGTCTGCTTTTTTTTCTAGAGCTTTCAGGTGTGATGTTAAGTCTCTAATGTGAGCTTTCTCTGTGGGCACTCAGGGTTATGACCTTTCCTCTTAGCACTGCTTTCATAGTGTCCCATAGGTTTGGGTATGTTGTGTTTTCATTTTTGTTGAAGTCATGGAAGACTTTAATTTCTTTATTTCTTCGTTGACCCAGGGGTGGTTCAGTAGTTGACTATTCGGTTTCCATGAGTTTGTAGGCTTTCTGGGGGTGGAATTGTTAAATTCTAACTTTATTCCATGGTGATCTGATAAGACACGGGTGGTTACTACAATTTTTTTGTATCTGTGAATGTTTGCTTTGTTACCGAGTATGTGATCAGCTTTTGAGAAGGTTCCATGAGTTACTGAGAAGAAGGTATATTCTTTCCCGTTTTGGTGGAATGTTCTTTAGATGTCTGTTAAGTCCATTTGATTACTTACATCTGTTAGTTCTTTTATTTCTCTGTTAAATTTCTATCTGGTTGACCTGTCCATTGGTGAGAGAGGAGTGTTGAAATCTCCTACTATTAGTGTGTGGGGTTTGATGTGTGATTTGATTTCTTGTAATGTTCCTTTTACATAAGTGGGTGCTTTTATATTAGGGGCATAGATATTCAGAATTGAGACTTCATCTTGATGAATTGTTCCTGTTATGAGTATGAAGTTTCCTTCTCCATCTCTTATGATTTTTTTTAGTTTAAAATCAATTTTATTAGATATTAGTATAGCCACACCCACTTGTTTCTTAGGTCCATTTGACTGAAAAACCTTTACCCAACCATTTACTCTGAGGTAGTGTCTGTCTTTGAGGTTGAGGTGTGCTTCTTGTAAATAGCAAATTTTTGGATCCTGTTTTCATATTTGTTCTCTTAACCTGTGCCTTTTCATAGATGAATTGAGTTCATTGACATTAAGCGATATTAATGACCAGTGGTTGTTAACTCTGGTTATTTTTTGGTGGTAGTGTTTGTGTGTTTCCCTTCTTTGAGTTGTGTTGGTGGAGGGTTGTCATATGTCTGTGCTATTGTGGGTGTTGTTGGCTTTCTTGTGTTGAGGTTTTTCTTCTAGTACTTTCTGTAAGGCTGGGTTTGTGAATACATATTGTTTTAATCTGTTTTTGTCATGGAATATCTTGTTTTTTTCCATGGTGAAAGAAAGCTTTGTTGGATATTGTAGTCTGGGCCTGCATCCATGGTCTCTTAGTTTCTGCAGCACATCTATCCAAGACCTTCTGGTCTTCATGGTTTCCATTTAGAAGTCAGGTGTAATTCTGATAGGTTTACCTTTATATGTTACTTGACCTTTTCCCTTTGCAGCTCTTAATATTCTTTCTCTATTCTGTATGTTTTGTGTTTTGATTATTTTATGGCAAGGGGATTTTTTTTGACCCAGTCTATTTGGTGTTCTGTAAGCTTCTTGTACCTTCATATGTATATCCTTCTTTAGGTTGGGAAAGTTTTCTTCTATAATTTTGTTGAATATTTTTTCTGGGCCTTTGAGCTATAATTCTTTTTCTTCTACCTCTATTATTCTTAGGTTTGGTCTATTCATGGTGTCCCAGATTTCCTGGATGTTTTGTGTTAAGAATTTGTTGGATTTGCTGTTTCTTTGATCAATGAGTCTATTTCCTCTATAGTGTCTTCAGTGCTTGAGATTCTTTCTTTTATCTCTTGTATTCTGTTGGTTATACTTTTCTCTGTAGTTCCTGTTCGTTTACCCAGATTTCCCATATCCAGCCATCCCTCAGCTTGTGTTTCCTTTATTACCCCTTTATGTCTTGAACAATGTTTCCATTACCTGTTTGATTGTTTTTTCTTGGTTTTCTTGGGTATCTCTGAGGGATTTATTAATTTCGTCTAACTTTTTGTTTGTCTTCTCTTCCATTTCTTTAAGGGAGTTTTTCACTTCCTGTTTAAAGGGCTCCATCATTTTCATAAGATTACATTAAAGTTGTTTTCTTCTTCTGGGTTAGGATGTTCAAGTCTTCCTGTTTTGCTGGATTCTGGTGTTACCGCGTTGCTTTTCAGGATGTTGGAGGAATTCTTGCATTGGCGCCTACCCATCTCTTTCTTCAAATGAGGCCAGCAGAGTCTTTATGTCTTGGTCCAATCCTTGCTGTGACTGACCGAGTACTCAGGAGTTTCGTTTTTTTGGTTTCTTTTTTTTTTTGGTCTGCCCTACACCCAGTCAGCACTGGAGCAGGCTCTCAGATCCCCTCAGTCCTGAAGCAGGCTGTGTGGGGTGTTCCAAGGACCCACAGATGAAAATGTGGGCTTGGGGGCAGGGTGGAATAGGGTAAAGAAAGCCAGCAGCAGGAACAGACCCTGCTGGATGGCCAGAAAAGCTTAGGGGATTGGAGTGGGGCTGGATTCAGTCCCCTTGGGACTGTCCCAGAGAGTGACACTTCAGGTTGTCCAGCCCTGTGGCCACTTACTCACCTCTCCAGTTACCCTAGAGCTACGAGACTCCTAACACTTCTTAGGATGAGCTGTCCCAAGTAACAGACATTTAAAGTACCCCACTGTTTCAGTCTTGCCATTTGAGGGCCCAAAGAAGAAGTGCTTGGCACTGAATGAGTCGCTCTGATTAGTTTCAGTTGTCCATCCCAGCAAACAGCCCAAACTTACCCAGACACATGGGTTTGACTCCCAGCCCTCCTCGCTGAACTCTGAGTTGTGCTCAGGCCACGTCCACTGCTGTTGCTAGGGCGCAGATTTATCCTGTGAGGTCACAGAGCCCTCACCTCACTGCATTCTGAGAATCACACAGACATCCAGTGCTCTTCTGTCCCAGCTTGGCCCATCCTTGTTCCCTGCTGTGCAAGCATCCTCTGAAGCACTTAGCTTTGGGGAAACATGTAGAGATATTTCTCATAAGGTGTCCCCTGGGAATCATCTCCATGTATCTCCTGCCAGCCCTCCATTTCCCACAGGTACCATCAGCCTGTGTGCATGAATCATCATAGACGGTGCTGCACGCAGAGCCCAGCTTGAGAGATGTAGACTCCTGGGAGCCCCTGCTTTTATTTTTGTTATCCTCAGTCAACCTTCTAAACATCTCTGTGTGTGGAGGGTCATGCTGTCCAGAATGTGTCCAGCCCTCTGTCCCCAACTTCTTGCAGGTTATGCAGTGGCGGGCTGGTTCTCTCATCCCTGCTCTGACCTGGGACAGTTTCTCAAGTTCATGCTTCCCCTGTGGTGCTGGAGCTGCAGTCCCTCAACCACCAGTTTTTTGGGGTTTTCCATGAAGGGATGTTGGATGTAAATCATGACTGACAGCCCACACTGGGGAATGCTGGGAACTCCTGGCCATGGAGTCACTTTATATTCTCTGTGGTGACACAGAATGCTGAATGACTCAGACATTGGTAGTGAAAAGCATGAAGCCTTGGGCTGAATTAGCCTCCCTCTGTCCTTGGAGACAGAAATGCAACCTGTGGCATGTGGATGTTATAAGGGAGTCACCCTGTGTGATCTGCATTCAGATAACATTCAGATAGCCTCCCCTGTGACAGGACATGAACATGAGGACACTGTGGGTGTCATGGGAGACTGTGGGGAGTCGAGTGCCTGATGGAAGGACAGGCTTTTACAGAAATAGAAGGGGTAGCTCCTGTTGTGTCCTGAACCTGGCCATGTGCTGTTCTACCCATGGGCTCAGTGTGGCTGCAGCTGGCTGTCCAGGTTATATGTTCCAATATTTGTGCACAGTCAGACTTGTATGTTAATTATTATGAGAAGCCCTCTCTCCACAAAGTGTGACTCTCTCTGTGCTAATACGACAGACTCTGTCCAAACCTGATTAGAATCCTGAATTAGAATTTAAAGAAGAATTAGTTTTACATTTACCTGCACTGGCTCCTGATGGCACACTGATATGTTGATTCTATGTTGAAACTCAGTTGTGTTTGGTGCAGGTTAAATTCCCCCATGAATTTGCTTCTCAGTGAGCTGAACATTTGTGTCATTTTCAACCAGCCTAATATCTCTCGTATCTGTGGTTTCAAGTCTCTACAGTAGAAGTAGTGTGAGCCTAGCTGCCCACTGGCTACTCTGTGGTGGTATTCAGATCTTCCAATGCCCTTTTCCATGTCATAAAAAACCCAAATTGTGTTTTAGGAAAGGGCCTTTTCTGGAAGAGGCCTTGGTACCCTGCACACCTGTATTAAAATTGACAACGAGCAGTATGGCCGTCAGGACAGTGAACTGAGGGGCATTGTTGTGGCCCAGCCATCATAGTGATCAGAAACAGACCCAGGCCCACAAGTCTCATGTTTTAGGCCCAGGCTCTTCAAGGTAAGTTCTTATCCCAGGCCCACATCTCTTCTTCCTTTGGGCTTGTGGTTTTTCTGGATTAGGTAGGAGCTCAGGCCCTCAATTCTTATTTTGTGCTGGGCCTTTTCAGGGTGAGGTAGTAGCTCAGGACCGTATCTCTTCTTCATTGATCTTCGGTTACTCCAGGGTTTCTGTTTGGCCTGGGGATACTCCTTTTGTGGTTTATCCTGGGCCTCTTTCATTTGTGGCATTCTTCTAGACGACTATATCATGTCTTTTTGGCCCCAGGCATCTTAAGGTTCAGGGACTTGCCCAGGCCCTCATGTCGTCTTGCCTTAGGCCCAAGTATCTTCCAAGGTCCACATCTTGGTCCACATCTCCTTTTCTTTGGGTCTTGATCTTTTAAGAGTAAGGTGTTTACCCAGGATCATATCTCTTCTTCTTTGGGTCCCTGCTTCTCCAGTTTTAGGGTTCAGCACATGCAACTTCTTTTGTGGTTTAACCTTTGCCTCTTTCATTTGGGGGATTGCCACAAGCTCATATATCTTCATATTTTAAGCACAGAAATTTACTCATCTTTTCTTGCTTCTGACTTGGACTTTTGTAGCAAAAGTCTTTGTCTCAGGCCAACATCTCATTTCTTGAGCTTTGGTTGCTCAGGTTTGGGCACATACCTCTTCTTTGATTGGTGTTCACTTTTTAATTTGGGTAATTTACTTATGTCAAGACATAATCTGGGGGCTGGAGAGATGGCTCAGTGGTTAAGAGCATTGCCTGTTCTTCCAAAGGTTTTGAGTTCAATTCCCGGCAACCACATGGTGCCTCCCAACCATCTGTGATAATGAGGTCTGGTGCCCTCTTCTGGCCTGCAGACATACACACAGACAGAATATTGTATACATAATAAATAAATAAATAAATAAATAAATAAATAAATAAATAATATTTTTTTTAAAAAAAGACATAATCTGTCTTTAGGCTTGAGTTTATTCAGGTCCAGGGATGAACTCAGGACCCAGGTTTTTCTTAATGTGTACCTGGGCTCTTTAGGGTCTACTTTTTGACCACATACTGTAAATTTTATGGTCGAAGCCTCTTTCACTTTAAGATTTGATTCAGACACACTTATGTCCTACATTTGGGCCTTGGCAGTACACTGTTCAGTGGAAGACCAGGAAATGCTTCTTGCTTTTTTATGTTCCTGTCTTTCTAGGTTTATGCTTAAACCTAAGGTTCTTTCACTTCAGCCTTTAGCCCAGGCTTCATCAGGGTTTCACCTTGGCTAATTGTATTTTCTATAATATTGAGTTTTTAGTGTTCAGGTTTTTGCCTGGATACATTGCCCTGTGCCTGTTTCTCTACAGTTTGATGAAGTAGAGTCCAGGTGTGTCCAAAAGTACGTTCCCATTAGCCTTTGTCTATGGCCAGCTTTTCTGAAATTAAAAATTGACAGGCTTGTATTGACAAAGGAAAACACTTGGTGTCCTTCTCGGTCATGTAAATATACTAAGAACATCAGTGACCTGTCCCTTAGAAACACAGATACAACATGCACATACACCAGATGTAATAAACTGTGCGTTACACAAATAGATGAAATATGTAGGAGAGAAAGGTGGTTGGAAAAGTCTTTCCTGATGCATCTCTGACAGTGTCTGTGGTGGGGAGGCTCGATGACCTAATGTGGGAAGGTAATTGCTACTCAATAGAGCTGAAGCGAGTCCTAACGAGGACTCATGCAAACTTTTATCCCAATCTGTGTGGAATCCCATTCCCATGAAGGAGTATCACAGGAAGCTAAAGAAAGAACAGCAGGTCGTCCTCATGCGCTAGGGCAGTAGTTTTCACCATCAGTTGTGACCCCTTCTGTAGACCTTGGCCTCCAAAAATATTTACATTATAATCCATAATAGTAGCAAAATGCAGGTATGAAGTGGCAATGGAAACAATGTTTTGGTTGTTGGTCCCTAGCACATGAAGAATTGTATTAAAATGTACATCACTGTGGAGACGAAAGTTTCTGCCCAACCTGCCAGTTCCTAATTCACTGACACAGAGGCTTAATATTAGCAATAAATGCTAAGCCAGTGTCTCAGACTTATTGCTATCTAACCCTTACATGTTAATTACCACATACCCCCCCATGTTTTGCCCTATTTTTTGTATATTTTTACAGTATGACATGCCCATTCTTTTTCTCTCTGCATCTGTTGCTGACTCCTCTCCCTCTGCCTTCATCCTATAACTCTAAGTCTGGCTTTCCCACCTAACTTTATCCTGCTCAGCTATTAGCCAGTTGACTTCTTCATCAAACCAATCATGGCACCATATATTTACACAGTGTAAAAAAAATATTCTAGAACAGGGAGTCACCAGCACATGAGGAAGTGTGTTAAGGAGTCACATCACTGGAAAGCTGAGAACCATGGTTTAGGGGGTGCCTTGCTAAGGCTTTGGAGGCTGTGCGGATGTTCACAAGGCTTGTGTTTGTGCTGTGGAGTTGGTGTTCTCTCTGTGTGTGCCAAGCACAGTCATTCTCTGTGAGGCTGTCCCTCTGCTCCTTCCTAACGCAACTCTTCTCAAGATCACATCTGTCTTGTACAACAAAACCTGTGACGTTGAATTGTGCCTTAGTCACCTTTTGTCTATAAAGCCCCTGTGCCTGCATACACTGGTGTGAGACCACATCGTCACCTAAAAAACTTTCTGCAGCCACTTGCCTGAAATGGGTCGTTGCCCACCTTCTCCAATGTTTAAATCCTAGCCCATGATAATGGACTCTGCTGCCATCAGAACCAGGTCACACTCATGTCCATGACAGTGACCCTCATGTGAGGTCCCAGAGGCCAGGCCTCATTTTGTTTGGGAAAGGTCAAAGGTTGTCCAGGTAAATGGGCATCTTTGGGTTGGTTTTTAGGGTAAGGACATGAAGGCTTCCCTTAAGATGATTTCTTGGGGAAAAATCTCACACATAATCTCCCTTCTCATGAAGGGATCACCCTGCCCGGGAATTTAAGCGCAGCTGGAATAGGTCACACTCAGCCCTGAGTGCAAAGTTCAAAGGTTGGTCCATCATTTCTGCTAATCTATTTTATCAGCAAGTTTCTCTCATCATGACACATGGAGTTTGTCACCGGCAGGATGCTGGGTACCGAGCTGATTGACAAATGTGACAGCAGTCTGTCCCTTCACCACCACTAAACACAGCCTTGAATTGGGTTGCCCAGAGACCACAATGTCATGAAATTTCACTACCTGTCCCTGGATGGTAGTTGATGACTTCTGAGAATGTCACTCACTGGAGAACAGCCTAACACGGAGCTCCATCCCATGGCAGTAAGGAAACTGGAGTCCTGGGACAGGTGCTGCTCTGCCTCAGCTGCTGTCTCCTATTGTGACGAATACAGGCGGAGGTTTGCATAGAAAAGCGCTGACATGCCTGGACACTGTGTTCTGTCACAGGGGACAGTTGTCCCTGACTGGGGCCACAGCAGAGCCTGCATCATCTGTAGCCTGAAATCTTTTCACATGGCACAGATTGGGGTCGGCCTG